AAGGGTCAATTCTCGTCGGATGGCATTGCGGCTGACCTTAGGCTTGAACTTGTGCAAAGGAGCATTGGCCTCCTTGAAAACGCTGTTGTGGGTAAAGTGATTGGGCGGCGGCTGCCTTTCTTTGTCCTGGAATCCGAAATCAGGAGGCAATGGGGACGCTTTGGGGACTTGCAGATCTCGACCATTGGGACCGATTGTTTTGCCTGCACGTTTGATTCGTTGGAGGCTAGGGACGCTGTCTTGTGCGGTGGCCCATGGTTTTTCAGCGGCAATATTGTCGGACTTGACCGGTGGACACCGGAATTCTCCCCGAGCTCCTTGGAGGGGCTGTCATCCCCCATTTGGATTCGGCTACCGCAACTTCCACTCCAGTACTGGGATCCAGAAAATCTGATCAGAATTGCCTCCATGTTGGGGGAACCGCTTTGGATCGACGCGCAAACAGGCGCACGCGGTAGACGTGAGTATGCTCGTATTTGCATTAAATTGGACCTTGCACTGAAGCTACAAAGTGGTATTTGGATCAACGGGTGGAAAGGGCGTTTCTACCAACGGGTTGAGTATGAGGGGCTTGGTCTCTCGTGCTTCGAATGCGGTCGTGTGGGCCATCGAAGGGATACTTGCCCAAGCCGCCCCGTTAGGGGGGATGACATGAATGCTGACATTTCTCGGGGAGTCCAACCCGGGGCTGGACGGGGTGGTGGCTCCAGCTCGGGTAGTGGCAGCAAGTCGCCGGAGAGTGTTGCTGCGGCTGTGGTGGGCACGATCACGCCTGCCCCTGTTTCGAATTGCTCGGCCAGCTCTTCGGGGTCTGGGAGTTCGAGAATTGGCAGTGCTGGAAGCTCTCAGCCTGCGTCGGCGGTTACTCGGGAGGAGATGGTGAAAGACAATGGTCCACCCGATTTGACGGAGGATGAAAAACTCTTTGGCCCGTGGAGCTTGGTTCCCCCGCGTAAGGGGCGTAAGCAGACCAAGAAAACTCCTGCTTCGGAGCCGGGACCACTGGGGGAGAATATCCCTAGACAGGTCAACTTGCTTGAAGTCAAGGAGCCCATGGCAACGAGGATGAAGGAAAACTTTAGGCCGAGCAAGGGGGACAAACGACCGGGACTTACGCCGCCGCTGCTGTTTTCGGCTGGAGCAAGGCCGACGAGACCGAAATTGGGGGCCTCTAAGGCACACTTTGACAAGGAATTGAGGGCGTTGGGCCCTATTGAGGAAGCCCCTCGGAAGAGGAGGAAGGACGGAGGTGCACCTACTAGCGGCGGGGACGCTTCCCCTATAGGTGTTTAATGTCTACGACCCTCTTTTGGAACTGCAGGGGGGCCCGTAAGAAGTGCACGGGCAACTACCTGCGTCACCTTGTGGGTGACAATGATGTGCACTTTGTTGGTCTTGTGGAGACCAAGGTGGAAACTCTTGACCGGGCTGAGGTCGATAAGATTATTGGCACCAATTGGGATTTCTTTCACTACCCCGCGATTGGGAAATCCGGGGGTATCCTTGTGCTGTGGCGGAAGGATCTAATCCACTTTGAGCTGCGGTTTGCGGATGACCAAGTTGTCATTGGTTCTATTACTCCCCCCGACGGGCTGTGCTGGGCGGTTGCGGTTGTTTATGGCAACAAAGACTACCTCCGCCGGCGTAGTATTTGGCAGAGCATTGGGACCTTCTGCAATGCGGCGGAACCGGTCCTTGTGGGCGGTGATTTCAACTGTTGCCTCGCCCAATCGGAGAAGAAGGGGGGGAAGCGGGTTACCCCAACGGCCGGAGTGGTTGAGATGGCTGAGTTTATGAATTGCAATGATCTCCATGACCTTGGATTTGTTGGTCCCCAGTTTACATGGTGCAATAATAAGGATGGAAACAGCCGGATTTGGGTGCGGCTGGACCGTATCCTTATGAATTCTGAGGGCCTTGGCAAGGCCCCGATGGCGATGGTTAGGCACATGGGACGGGTTGCTTCGGACCATGCCCCTTTGCTGTTATCTTTGGGGACCAAGGTGGCTGCGGCCCCGGAGAGGTGGATCCGGTTTGAGGACGTCTGGACGACTTACCCGGCGTCATGGCGAATTGTTTGGCTTAATTGGAGGAAGACTGATACGGGATCCCCTGCGGACATCCTCAACCGTAAATGTCATCGCACCTTGCGTGCCTTGTATCATTGGAGCCGCCAACGTGCTCTAAATCTGAACCACAGGAAGACGGAGCTGGAGCGGCGCATCATTGAGCTGCAGAACCTTGATTGCACGCCTGGTGGGCTTGGCCATGACCTTGAGGAGGAGCTACGGCGCTGTGTTGGGGAATTGAATGATACTTTAGCCAGGTTGACCATTTGGTGGCGACAACGGGCCAAGGTGCGGTGGATTGAGCATGGGGACGCTAATTCCCATTTTTTTCACATGGCGGCTTCGGGACGGAGGAGGGACAATAGGGTGGTGCTCAACCTGCCGAACTGTGACCAGCCGGTCACCGATCAGCGGACTATCCTGGACACGTTCTCGGCTTTCTTTCGGGATAAATGGAAGGACCGGCAGGCTTGCCTCACGGGATGGCCTGATTTTGGCGATGCTGGGATGATCCCAGCTCAATTAATTCCATCCCTTACTGCTGCGGTGACTGATGAGGAGGTGTGGAATGCGGTGCACACGATGGGATCCAACCGTGCCCCTGGGCGGGACGGTATCACGGCTTCGTTCCTCAAGTTTTACTGGGAGATCATCAAGACGGAGGTCCTTTTTGCTGTGCAGGATTTTTTCTCCTCCAACCAGATGGACGGTGGATGGAAGGAGACCCTCATTATTCTTATCCCGAAGGTATTGAATGCGGACAATCCGGCTAAATTTCGACCAATCAGCCTTTGCCAAACCTTTTATAAGGTGGTCGCAAAGGTGCTTGTCCACCGAATGAAACCGGTGCTTGCTAGCATTATTGGAGAAGAGCAAGGGGCCTTTGTCCCCGGGAGATCTATCTCCAACCATGGCCTCTTGGCTCAAGAAATCATTAACAACTTTCAGCACTCCACCAAAGCAGCGGGGATGATGGCTTTGAAGGTGGACATGGAGCAGGCCTATGACTGCATGGCTTGGGACACGCTACAACATGTTATGGGCTTGATGGGGTTCCCGGAAGCCTTCACTAAATGGGTAACCCAATGTATTTCTTATCCTAAATTTCAGCTTCTTATTAACGGATGCAGGACCGATTGGATCATTGGGGCGAGCGGCTTCCGGCAGGGCTGCCCACTCTCGCCATACCTCTTCATCTTATGTTCGGAGCTGCTGACCAAGGCTTTTACCCAGCACGGTCGGACGCT